AGAAACGGGGACATAAGTGTTGCTGGTGGTGGTACTGGGGGTGACAGCCTGCAAAAAGCCTAGAGGGCGTAATGAGAATTGAATGTTGTTCAGTCCTGGGGGTGAGAGGGTGCAGAGAAGTCCTGCTACAGGATTAAGCTCTAAGGTGCTAAGGTCTGCACTGTACAGAATGAATTCACATCTCTCCTATGCACCTAGAATGGTACTAATAGATACTACCATTGGGAAAAGTAAGGAAGTAAGTCACTTGAAACGTTTTCCATAGAACTTAATTCTCTTGTGGAACCCACTGAGAAAGGCTGGTGTTGAGCATCAAGTATGATGTGGAGGCAGGTGAAGCTGGAGAATGGAGAGAGAAGAAGGAGCAGGATCGTGAAGGGCCTTGTAAACCACATTAGTTTTCATTTTGCCATAAAGAAACTGCTTGACGGATAAAAGAAAGTTCACACAATGAACAATAAAAAATTCAAACAAAGCGTAACAGATGGTATGAAAACAATGAAGAAAAATCCTCAGATTCAGATAAATTCTTAATCTTCACGGCTAAGTTCAAGTCTCAAAACATTCCTACAAACTAAAAACCACAGACCTGTTGCCATCCAGTCGGTTCTGACTCACAGTGACCCTACTGGACAGAGCAGAATGGCCCCATAGGGTTTCCAAGGTGTAATCTTTATGGAAGCAGACTGCCACGTCTGTCTCCCTTGAAGTGGCTGGTGGGTTTGAACAAGAGACCTTTGGGTTAGCAAGTGAGTGCTTAATGTTTATTGAGTGGGTTCTCTGCACTGGCCACTGGGGACACAGTGAGGAATGAAAGTCTCTGCCTGTAGGAGGTCATGGTTCTTCCTGAAGCCTCTTCTGACCTGTCCAGCCCCCATGGCTCTTCTTCTCTCCAGGCCTAAAACAGTGACTGCTCACTCACTCATTTTGTCTCATCTTCCTCCCAAAGAGCAGCTGATAGATTTGAACTGCTGACCTTCTGGTTACCAGCCAAATGCCTTACCCACTATGCCGTCACAAGTCCTTTTAACCTTTTCTCTACTATTACCTAATGTTGCATGTGTGCATATACTTTAGGGAAATGAACTCCTGGAGGACAGAGTTCATGTCTTGCATTTTTTTGCTCTTTGTACTTTAGAATGAAGGAGCCCTGGTGGTGCAAGGGTTAAGCACTCAGGTGGTAACCAAAAAGTTGGGAGTTTGAGCCCCTCAAGTGATCTGCTACCGTAAATAGGGCACGAGGCCATTTCAGGACATGAATTAGGCTTAACGTGATATAACTACGCTATGGAAGCAGATTATTTTCCCGCTAGAGCAGGTCTATTCTGTCACACGGGGTAGCTAGGAGTTGAAATCGACTTGATGGCACCTAACAACAACTACAGAACGGAGCAAAGAATGGAGCATAGAGTAGACTCTCTAACATTCATGGGCTTGCATTCTGCTAAGACACTTATATTCTATTTCCCCAAGTCAGCCTTTTGAACTTGGAACAATTTTGGGATAGGCTAGAAAAGAAAAAGAAATGTAATCTTGGGATACATGCATGTATACAACACTTCACACCAGAAAATATTCAACAAATATGAAGTACCTCTTACCACATTTTTCAAAACACAAAACACTGCATTTCTTTTGAGGTACTTAAGTACCAAAAGAGGTCAAGAAATTTAAAGAGCAGCCAAATTATTAAGAGGAGGAAGTGAAGGACAATTATAATAGGCAATTATCTTAGGCAACTGGTGACTATGGGGAGAAAAAAAAGGTGTAATCAAGCTGTCTGCCCAATTAGAACACCATGGATAATCTGGGGACCATTTTCATGGCAAGTGAAGGTTATGAAACAGAAATACCTCTATGGGGGGGGCTGAAAACTGAGCAGGGTAAAATGGTGGTATCTACATGGTTTTGGGGAACAGGAGAATTATACTGGGTGTTATGCAGTCCAACCATGAACCACAGTGGAGCAAGATGAGGTCTTATAATGGGGAACTGACACAAGTGAAGAATGAGAGTCGCCCTAAATGCAAATGAGTGTTTCCCTGCTAAGGAGGTCACACTAAAAAGATAAGACTTCTTTAGTTTGGAAAAATGAAGGCTAATAGGGATGATCATAAATCCTTAAGATTATGAATGGCACATACACATTGAATCCAGATTTTTCTTCTCATCCAAACTTGAAGCACTTGGCCAAGGATGCCTTTATAACTCTGAACAAGGTACCTAATTTACATCAATTAAAAGGTACAGGTCAGGTAGCAAAATGACTGAGAACGTGAGCTCTGGAAGTCAGCTTGCCTGTAAGCTCGATAAATGCCAGTTATTAATATATTTCCAGAATTCATTGTAAAAATCAAGGAACACATTGATTTTTTTAAAGAGTCAAATATGTTTAGGAATGGGAGATCAATATATGGCTACTAACAGAACTAAGACACACCCAATTTTAAGGTTAGTGGTGTCTGTATGGGATGATGGAATGCACATTTTCCATAAGCTGAGGATTTATGACTAGTAGAAACTATGACTGTTAGCTTTGATAACCCTTCATGTCTTCAAGACATGACTTTTGCAAAAGGCATAAAGCAATATGGGATAAATCAGAAACATCACTGTGATCAGATGTGCCAACCTGGTGAAGTTCCTACTGGTTGTGGCTTTGCAGGATTTTACATGTATTTAAAAAAGAAAAAGAAAAAAAAAAGTCCAGAGCTATCACTTCAGCACTGGTTATAGCCCTGCCCCCTTCATCCAGGATACTCCACAAATGCCTTCTTTCAGTTCCAGAACCGGGTCAGGGTCTTTCCTATCTCAGGCCCTTTGCACATTAACTCCTGTCTTTTCCCACCTTCTTTGTGACTACTCCTTCCTGATCCCTAAATTCCCAGCTGAAGGCACTCTTCCTGCTCCCCTTGTTTAAAGTAGGTTTCTCTCCTTAATTCCTTTCTCAGTGGCCAGTGTGCTTCCTGTACATCCCAGCACTTAGCACAACTTGTAATTATTGTATTCTTTGCTTATTTGTTTTTACTAATGTCTCCTCCATTAGATAGCTCCATAATGGCAAAAGACATGCTTTAGCTCTTTACAGCATCCTTGTTGAACTTAGCACAATGATGAGCATTTAGTAGGCACTCAATAAATGTCTGCTGAACGCAGTGATGATCCCTAACGTCTTTTTCAGCTAAAAATAACCATTAAGTATTTTTATGCAAATAATGTTTCCATTAGGCCAGAACTGTTTTATTCAATTTCATTATTTAGTATGTTAATCTATAGGGCCAAGTTATTTAGCTGGGTGCAGTTATTTGTGAAAAAATACGTAATAGAACAAAAAATATCCAGTATAAAGGGGGGAGTTTTTACTTACTTTTAGGCCTAGGAATTCCTCTTCACTATCATCAAACTAACCAAATGGCTCTGTTCCAACAAGTTGAGTTCCTACCTGACTGATGTAATCTATTAATGACTAACACCTTATTCAAACAGTGACTTTGTAAGTTTTGATTTCAGATTTGCCTTACTCATTGTAGCCATTAGTGATGTAGGCCCAAACTTTTGTCCCATACTGGGCTGGTGACTTGAGAATTACTTGAGGAATTTATGAAAAACACAGATCTTTGGATCATATGCAAAGAGATTTTGATTGAGTATTTGTGAAGTCAGGCCCTGGAATCCATTTATTTAAGTCTGCTTATTTGAATAAGTAATGCATGCCTGTAGTACAGGATTCAAAAGGCAAGAAAAAGTTTACAGCAAACTTCCACTTCCACTCCTGTCCTTACGCTATCAAGTTCCCTTTTCCATAAATTACCACTGTTACCAATTTCTTGCGTCTCCTTCTAGATAATTACTTATTTGTGCACACATGCTTTTACTTTATGTACACACCGGCATATTTAAGGAAGTGTTCTAACCTTGCTTTTCCTTTCTCATTTAACCATGTATGTGGGAAATGGAGGTATCTATATTTTTAACAAACATTCTAGGTAATTCTGATAATGAAGCCAAACAGAAGAACCATTCACTGGACCAGAGTTAAGAGATTTACATTCAACTCAATACCACCCACTAGAAACTCAGGACACTTAAAAGATGCCCTCAACAGTCCTCCTGTTTAGTTGGCCTCTGACTCCTTATCTCACCAAGAACAATATTCTCCAATGTCCCTTAGAAACCGCGAAAAAGTAGCCATTCCAATGGGTGTTGCCAAAGGTGCTTCATTTTCAGCTCCTGGAATCTGGTCCTGCCTAATACCACGTGAAATGACCCACTTGACCATTGCCATCTTACACAAGGCATGCTGCTATCTGAGCTCTAATGAGAATTGTCCTACACTGGACTAGAGCTGACTCTCTCCTGGAAGTTAAGCAGCGGAACTACTTTCCTTATTAATCCTACCGACCCCACAGCATCCAATCCTCTTCCCTGAATTGCTTTCTCACCGTCCGAGCCAAAACAATGAACTTAGATACACACAGTCAGGCTGAACTTGGTGAATTCTGGAGTTCCGGCCCCGGTGCCCCCCACCCCAGGGACTGCAGACGGAGCTTCCTCTCGGAACACAGGGCAGGCTCTCCAAGGGCCACCAGCGAATCTCCTCCGCAGTGTTCCTGTCACCACGCGGGGCACCGTGCGGCCGGCATCCCCCTCTGCCTGAAACGGCGCGAGGAAGGAGGCACAGAAATGGAATCCGCGGCGCCGGAGCTGGCTTCCCCTCCCCATGGCTGAAGGGGCTCGGAAAGTGTCTCTGCCCCAGCCCCGGCTCGGGGAAGGCGTGACTTCTCCATCCCTTCTCCCCAGACTTAAACGTGAAGCCGCGGAATTGGAGCTCAGAGCACCCAAACCCTGGACCCCTCCTCCACGCTTTTCTTCTATTTTTAGTACGGGAGGGTCCCCTGGGCCCGGTGTCCCACCCCCCTCCCCCCGAGCCGTGGCCCAGGCCTCCTCCCTTGGCCCGCCGGCCGGCCCGGCCCCCTCCCGCCCGCCTCCAGCCCCCTCACCCAGCATGATGGGGCTGAGCCGCCGGGCCAGGCCCTTAGACAGGTCGTACACGTAGAGTTTCACCGGGTAGAGATTCGGCTGCTCCATTGGGACCCGTGGCGGCGGCAGCCACGATGTCCCTCTGACACCGGGCAGCGGCTCGGACCTTCCCGTACCCGACGGGGTGGGGTGCAGAGGGAGAGGGGGCAGCGAGCCCGGGCCCGGCCTGAGGGGCGGGGGAGAGGCGGCCCTGCGCTGCTCGCGCCCCCACACCCGCCACCACCGGCAACGACTACTGTGAGGTGACAGAGCCAGGACTGGGAGGGTCTGCGCTGAAGAGGGGGCGGGGGGCGGGGACGCACTTTCGCGCATGTGCATAGCATCCTGACCGTCAGGGAGGGGCGGGGTTTCGCGGACGGGGGCGGGGCTTTATCTGAAGGGGTTGGCTTGACTTCTAGACATTTGTGGAAATAGCTTTGGAAAAGTGGGCGTGTCAGCTTGACTAGAAGAAGCGCAGGCTAGGCGTGATGACGTTGGGGGCGTTGATTGGGAAAAAGAGCTGGGGCTTGCGCATGCGCTGCGCGCCACTTTGGGTCCAAGTAGCCGCTTTCTGCAGTAAAGGTAGGCAAGGATGGTTTACGGACTGTGGAAGTTGTTCGCTGGGCATGATTGGCTTCTTCTGGCTTCACCCACTCAGTCTCACATGCCTCGCCGGCCTCGCTGTCGGCCCTAAGTGCTCAGATATGAGTTATAGAGAAACACCGGAGCTCACTCCCTCTTCACGGGGCGGCAATGCCAGGCCTTTGAGGGCCTCCTGCGGTAACTTCACTGGGCGGGACTGGCCAGGGGTTCAGGGTTTGGGTGAGATGAGGACGGAATATTCTAGAGCGGGAATCCTTCACAGTCCAGATGGCGCCCTGTGCGGGACAGGAACGCAGGGGTGGGGCTGCACTCGCACATCGACCACAGCGGCCACCCCGGGCCACCACCGGCCCTGAAACGTCTATTAAACACAAAAGACAGACTCACTGCCGTGAAGTCGGTCCCGACTCATAGCGACCCTTCCTTGGGTTTCCGAGGCGGTATCTCTAAGGAGGTAGATTGCCCAGTCTTCCTTCGGAGGAGCGGCTGGTGGGTTTGAACCGCCAGCCTTCTGGTTATCAGTCAGATGCCTTAGGCACTATGCTAGTTATAAGGAATAGTTAAAGTGAGGCTGTTGCTGGGGTGATTCCCATACCCACTTACCCCTGCACCAACTACGGGGAGCTGTTGAGGCAGCTGGATCCAGTATTCCTCTTGACTAATCCGAGTCCTTAGGACAGCTCAGAGGAGCGTCGGAGTAGATATTCCTTCGGTTTAATTTTTCTTGTCAATGACTTTAACCTTCTTTCTCCTAGAGAGCGCTAACGACGATGTCAGGGTGGGAATCCTACTACAAAAACGAGGGAGATGAAGAAGAAGAACCACAAGATGACAGCCCTGAAGCAGGCGGTAAGGGACACAAATGTAGTGCTATTCTCTGTGGGAGAAGGACGTCCCCTGCCTATCTACTGGGTGGCTTTTGCTGTTTAATGGACCACTCTTTTCTCCCCAGATAATCCCAAACCCTTTTCTTCTTTGAACTTTACTGAGCAGCCATAGACTCATCTCTCAGGTACAACTCTAATCTATAGGACATCCCTGGCCTGAAATTTCTGCTTCTTGTTAGGTGCTCTCAATTGGCTGCGACTCCACGTGACCCTGTTTACAATAGAACAAAACACTCCTCGGCCCTCTGCCATTCTCCCAGTCCTTGCTATGCGTGAACCCTTCACTGCAGTCACACGGTGTTGATCCATCTTGTTGAGGACCTTCCCCTCTTTCGTCGACCCTCCACCTTACCAAGCTTGATATCCTTCTCCAGGGAATGGTCCCTTCTGCAACATGACCAAAGTAGGTGAGACCAAGTCTGGCCATTCTTGCTTCCAAGGAGCATTCCGGCTGCACTTCTTCCAGGACAGATTTGTTCATTCTCCTGGCAGTCCGAGGTATTTTCGGTATTCTTCATCAACACCACAATTCAAAGGTGTCATTTCTTCTGGAGTCTTCCTTATTCATTGTCCAGCTTTCACATGCATATGAAGTGATTGCAAAATACTATGGCTTGGGTTAGGTGCACCTTTGTCTTCAAAGGGGAGTTCTGGTGGCATAGTGCCTGTGGTAGTTCAGTTTGTGTGTCAGCTTGGCTGGGCCTGGTTAAGTGGCTGGGCAGCTGGATGTAGTATTCCCCATGATGAGACTGGTAATCAACTCCACAATGGAGTCTGCTGGGAGACCCTGAGTAGCTGCTTTAGGGAATATGGTCTGCTTTCTGTATACAAGCAGAAGCCTTGGGGAATGGTCTCTAGCTTATGGCACGCTTGGACCCTGCATATACCCGTGTCTTTGTTCAGCAGCCTGCCATGCTCTGCTGACCTGGGGACTTACAGTGGGCTTGAATTAATTGCCTGCTGTATGGTTTGGTAATGTCGGGACTGTGCCTTTTTATTTGTCAACCTTGGGTTTGGCAGCCTCAGCAGCCAGTAGCTGAGTGAAGAAAAGCCTCTAGCTTCAGTGGGCCAGGAGCTGGAGGCAGAGCTGAAGCCCAAGGCTGAGGGGCTTTCACCCAGCCCCTATAGCCTGGCACTTTGAACTCAGACTTAAAGCCTCCAAATTGTAAGAAGAAACTCCTGTTTGTTAAGGCCATCCCATTTGTGGTATATTCCTGTCAGAGTGGCACTAGGTAACCGGTATAGTGCCTAAGGCATTTGACTGCTAACCAGAAGGCTGGCGGTTCAAACCCACCAGCCACTCCTCAGAAGGAAGATTGGTCGATCCACTTCTGTAGAGATGCTGCCTCAGAAACTCAAGGAGGGGTCGCTCTGAGTCGGAACCTGACTCAAAGGCAGTGAGTTTTTTTTTTTTTTTCCTGGAGTCTTCAAAATGAAGTCTTTGCTCTTAAGCATTTTAAAGAAGTTCCTTGAAGCAGATTTGCCAAGAGCAATATGACGTCTAATTTCTTTATTGCTGCTTCCATGGGTGCTGATTGTGTATCCAGGTAAAATGAAATGAAACTGCTGGGCTCTGGTAAATTGACAACTATTGAGCTCCAATAAGTTCTACTCTGTCCTATAGGTTCACTTTTAGTTGAAATAGACAGCAATAGGTGAGGTCAGCCTCCAGGTTTGGGAGTGTTACATTCAGACAACACAGTAACACATAGAGCAAAGAGAAACAGAACAAAAGGGGTACATGTAATCTACATTCTCATTAATTTACTTCCTGGATATATATATATATATATATATATATATATATATTTTAATGTTTTTATTCAAAGTAAGAAAAAAAATAGGGAATATAAAAAATAAAGAGAAAAGTTACTATAACTACCACTCTAACACAACCACTCAGGAGTTCTGGTAGCGTAGTGCCTAAGGCACTTGACTACTAACTAGGATGCTGGTAGTTCAAACCCACCAGCCACTCCTGGGAAGGAAGGTTGGGTAATCTACTTTTGTAGTGATACTGCCTCGGAAACCCAGTGAGGGGTTGCAATGAGTCAAGTCCGACTCAACGGCACATAACAAGAACAACATGGTATAGTCATGCAACAAATAAATAAAAATTTGAATCAGATTAAGCCTGTGTGTAGGCCCTTTATAGGAAATACAAAGGAGAGAGGAATTTATTAATCTACACCAAAACGATGCAGTCAGCAAAATCCACAACATGGGAAACTCCATGACACAATTTCCTGATTCTTCAGCAAATAAATTGCAAGGGAAAAAGGATGGAGGGAGTATCTACAGATAAAGAGGCTTCAAAGATGTTTTAAAAAATAAGAAAACTAACGTTTAGGGATATACACTCGTATGACAAAACGAAATACAAAAGTAAGGAAGTGATTACCAAAAGCCAGGATAGTAGTTACTCTTTGAGGGGGTACTTTTATGGGGGTGGGGAGTATGTTTATGTGGAGGTCTTCTGCAGTGACTGGCATGGTTCCATTTCCTGATGTGGGTGGTGGTTTTAAGGGTGTTTACCTTATAATTATTCATCAGGCTGCATTTTTGTCTTGTGGGCTTCCTCTGTTTATTTTATGTGAATGATATACACGAACACAAGGACAGATATTTCATTTTTTTCCCCTATAGGTGAATATAAATACTCAGGAAGAGATTGTTTGATTTTCTTGGTTGATGCCTCCAGGGCCATGTTTGAATCTCAGGATCAAGATGAATTGAGTCCTTTTGATATGAGCATCCAGGTAAGATACCTTTTTATTAAGTAAAACAGTTCCCCCAAAATGTGTTAAAACCATGTTATGGATTGAATTGTGTCCCAAAAAAATAGGTGTTATAAATCTTTCTCTCCAAGGAGTGTATCTACCTCAGGTGAATGTGCGACTCATATGCTGGTCTTTTGTTTGGCTGGAAGCCACAGGTGTGGGTTCAATTCCAGACCTGAAGGGCAGCTAGGGGCCCTAGTCTCAGTGGTTCCACCAGGTTCTATCAGATCAGCAAACCTGGTCCCCCTTTTTTTCCTCCCCCCAAATGATTTTAAGTTTTGTTCCACATTGTTCTCCCTCTCTATCCAGGATCTCCTACATAGATCCCCTTCCAAGTGGTTGACAGTGGTAGCTGGGCACCATCTAGTTCTTCTGGTCTCATAGTCGTATAGGCTGCAGATCAGATGGTGTACCAGTCACTGGGACTAATTCTTTCCATGAATCTTTGGTTTTCTTCATTCTTCTTTGCTGTGGACGAGGAGAGACCCATCATTGCCTCTAGATGGCAGCTATGTGTAATTTCAAAAGGTTTATGGAACCCTTGAAGCCTGAAGACCTTGGAAAAGCTGTAGTATTGTTGTTAGGTGCCGTTGAGTTGGCTCTGACTCATAGCGACCCACGTCCTCACTATGCTTGAGCCTATCATTGCAACTACTGTGTCAGTCTGTCTCATTGAGGGTCTTTCCTTTCTTCACTGCCTCTACTTTACCGGGCATGATAGCCTTCTCCAGGGAATGGTCCCTTCTCACAGTATGACCAAAGTAGGTGAGACAAACCTGTCTGTTCTTAACTTCTAAGAAGCATTCCAGCTACACTGCTTCCAGGACAGATTTGTTTGTTCTTCTGGCAGTCCATGGTACTTTGAGTGTTCTTCGCCGACACCACAACTAAAAAAGTCCTTGATTCTATGACTAAACATAATGTAGGTTCTGCATTTAAGGAGAGAGTGACTGTGGAAGAAGGTGGGTTAGAGGCTCAGGCTGGACATGGGTGGGGTTGAGGTAGGGGATTACCACAGTACATTTATTCCTCAGCTTTGCAGGATCTGAAATTTAGTTTTGTCAGTTCACTCAGAATTGAACAGGCTCCTAAGGACTGACCAACGCTTATGAGACAGTGATTTACCAGATGCTGATACTGGTTTATAAGAATGGATAGTAGATCTTTCCTGTGACTGTAATACTGATGTCTTTAATTGGTTAATTAAGCAAATTTTATTTGAAAGGATGCCGTTAGTACTTATGGATTGATTTTAATTATTTTATATACATAAATCTGTTTCCTGGTGTCAGGATAGTCAAGGAGACATTAAATGACCTGTCTAAACTTAAACAACTAAGTAAGTAGTGTTGGGGGGACTCAAACATTAAGATTTTCTGATTGCACTACAGAGCTTTTATTTATTTATTTTTTTAAATTGTTTTTTTGAAAACACATAGCAAAGCGGCACCATTTCAACAGTTTGTACTACCCGTACAATCGTTGACATTGATGACATTCTGTGTAACAATTTTCACCTTCCTTTCCTTCCTCCATTAACATAAACACACTGTCCCCTAAGGTTCCTGTCTAACCTTTCAAGTTACTGTTGTCAGTTTGATCCCATAGAGATCGTTCTTAAAAGAGCACGGTGCTCAAGGCAGACATTGTACTAATTAAGCTAAACTGTTGTTTGTTTTTCAGAAGCCATCAGGGGATATTTTTGGTTTAAGGCTTAAAGATTATCTCAGGGCAGTAGTTTCAGGGGCTCATGCAGTCTTCAGGGCTCCAAAGAAGTCTAGAGTTGCTGAGAATTTGAAATTCCGTTCTGCATTTTTCCTCTTTTGATCAGGATTCTTCTATTGAATCTTTGATCAGAATGTTCAGTAATGGTAACTGGACACCATCCAGGTCTTCTGATCTCATGGCCAAGGAGGCATTTGTTTACGGAGGTAGTTAACCACACATTCCATTTCCTCCTTCTATGCCTGACTCTCCTCCTCCCTCTGTTGCTCCAGGTGAATAGAGACCAATTGTTGTGCCTTGGATGGCCGCTAGCAAGCTTTTAAGACCCCAAGCTCTACGTAAAGAATTAGGAGGTAGAACAGAAGCATTAAACATGTTACTAGTTCCATGAAACCATGACCCTAAACCACCAAACCAAGAACCAAGTGTGGTAGTTATGTTTATGTGTCAACTTGGCTGGGCCTGGTTGAGTGGCAGGGCAGCTGGTGGTAGTTGTTCCCCATGATAAGACTGGCAGTCAACTCCATGGTGGGATCTACCACAGGCAGCTGAGTAGCTGCCTTTGGGATGTGGTCTGCCTCTTGTATATAAGGAGAAGCTTTGAGAATGGTCTCTAGCCTATGGCACGCTTGGACCTTGCATGTAGCCGTGTCGTTGTTCAGCAGCCTGCCATGCTCTGCCGATCTTGGGACTTACAATGGACTTAAGTTAATGGCCTGCCGTGTGGTTTGGTAACATCAGGACTGTGCCTTTTTCCTTGTCAGCCTCGGGGCTTCTCAGCCTCAGCAGCCTGCAGCTGTCTGAGTGAAGAAACACCTCTAGCTCCAGTGGGCCGGGAGCAGGAGGCAGAGCTGGACCCCAAGGCTGAGGGGGTTCCACCCAGCCCCTAGAGCCTGGCACTTTGAACTTGGACTTAAAGCCTCCAAATTGTAAAAATAAACTCCTGTTTGTTAAGGCCATCCCATTTGTGGTGTATTCTTGTCAGAGCGGCACCAGGGAACCACAACACCAAGTCTTGTGAGGTTTTTGGTTATACTCATCCTCCTTTTCTGAGTCCTTCCTGCATTAGCATAACCTCACTGCCCCCTCCGTTTCCTGTGTACTCTTTAGAGTTGCCGTCAATTTGATCCCATGTGGATCCACTGCAGGGCTGTTTTCTTTTCCCCCTTGTTCTCCTGTAGCAGAGTCCTCTCCCTGAGAAGGTACGTTTTTAAGCCTCTCACTTATTATAGTTGTTAGTTGCCCTTGAGGCGATTCTGACTCATGGCCACCTTAAGTGTGCAGAATAGAACTGTTCTGTAGGGTTTTGAAGGCGGTACCGTTCAGAAGCAGATTGCCAGGCCTGTCTTCAGAAGCATGTCAGGGTGCATTCAAACCAGCAACCTGTTGGCTAGTAGTTGAGCACTTAACCCTTTGTGCCACCCAGTAAGGATTGTTTACACGTCTGTTACTGACACTCTGCTTTCTGTTACAGCTTGATGTATATGCCCCCCACTCTCACTGATTTATGAGTTTCCTGAAGGTAGGGATCATAGAGCACCTGACTTCATAGAAGTCACCTGATTTCATAGACGTCCATAGAACAGGACTTCAGTTTAGTGGTAAGTAATGAACTGAACTCTTACTTCCTTTTTTCAGTGCATCCTGAGTGTGTACACCAGCAAGATCATAAGCAGTGACCGGGATCTCTTGGCAGTGGTGTTCTATGGTACTGAGAAAGACAAAAATTCAGTGAATTTCAAAAATATTTATGTCTTACAGGAGTTGGATAATCCAGGTAAGTAATATTTTTATCCCTGTTGGGTTTCCAATCTTTATGGTTGTAGATTACCTCACCTTCCTCCCCAGAGGAGTTGGTGGGTTGCAACCACTGACCTCTTAGTTAACAGCCAAATGCTTTAACCACTACAGAGCTCCTTGATATTTTAAGAACAGTTTTTCCCTTACGTGAGCCTGTCATTACCATGAACGAAGAGGGCTGTGGAGAAAGAAGCGATTACACCTTGACTGACTGGGATTATGCGGGATTATGCTGTCCTGCAGAAGGGGCTTCTTGCTGGGATGTGGACTTTGGCTCTGTAGGTTCAGCAGCCCTGGGGTGAGAAGGGGACCTGAGGCTCTTCTGTTGCTCTTGTGGTAAAGGCAGCACTGACACTGTGGTGATTTTTCTGTCCGTCTGACTCCCTGCCTTGGATCAGGTGCTAGACGAGTGCTACAGCTTGACCAGTTTAAGGGGCAGGAGGGGAAGAAACATTTCCAAGACCTGATTGGCCATGGATCTGACTATTCAGTAAGTGAAGCGCTGTGGGTCTGTGCCAACCTCTTCAGTGACGTCCAGTTGAAGATGAGTCATAAGAGGATCATGCTGTTCACCAATGAAGATGACCCCCATGGCAATGACAGTGCCAAAGCCAGTAGAGCCAGGACCAAAGCTGCTGATCTCCGTGACACAGGTGGGCCACCTTTGAGTGGTCTCTTAAGTTGGCACTTAATTTTTAATTTTTTTTAAATTTTATTGTGATTTGGGCGAAAGTTTACAGAGCAAATTCATCTTCCATACAACAGTTCACATACACTTTGTCTCATGACATTTACTCTAGTCTCCCACAATGCAACAGCTCTCCTCCCACTTCTTCCTTATAGCCACTTCTTCCCTGTGTCCTTCCCTCCATGCACTCCTGCCTGTCAAGCTGTCTCCCTGTGCATACACAGCCCTTCTATTCTCCCGTGACTGATCTCTCCAAGGAGTGTATCTACCTAATGTAAATGCTCAGCTTACATGCTGTCTTTTGTTTGACTGGATGCCAGAATAGTGGGTTCAATTCTAGACCTGAAGGGCAGCTAGGGACCATAGTCTCAGAGGTTTCATCAGGCTCTATCAGACCAGCAAACCTGGTCCTTTTTTTTGTTTAATGATTTTGAGTTTCGTTCCACATTGTTCTCCCGCTGTATCCAGGATCTCCTACATAGATCCCCCTCCGAGTGATTGACAGTGGTTGCCGGGCACCATTTTGTTCTTCAGGACTCACAGGAGTATATAGGCTGAGGATCGCTCAGTGTACCAGTCCCTTGGACTAATTGTTTCCATGCATCTTTGGTTTTTCTTTATTCTTCTTTGCTGTGGATGAGGAAAGACCCATTCTTGGAGAGACCCATCATTGCATCTAGATGGAAATTGGCACTTAATTTGACTGCTTCTCTATAGTTGATGCCAAGTGTTTGCTTTTCACAATTCAGAGTAGAATGAAAGAATAAAGTGAAGCCAGGGGAACACATCCAGGTGACATTAACACTGAAATGACTATCCCATTAGCTGTCAAGGGCTCTACCAGAGGGAGCTAGTCTTAGCTTTGTTGCTGCCTTGAATGTGGATGATTGAATGAGTCATCTGAAGCATTGGATTTCCTCAGCCACTTTTTCTGAGTCCTGAAATTATTTCCTACTCAATCTAGTTCTTTGGGAGTTTTTCCAAGGCATATTTGAGCTTAACTGAAAAAAAATCTCTCACTTAGCGAAAATCTTTTTTTTGGGGGGTGGGTGGGGATACTTTTATTCTGATGTTGCATGCTTTTTTGGGAGAGGTGGGGGTGGGAGTATACACAGCAAAGATGTACCAATTTCTTAATCTCTACATGTACAATCCAGTGACATTACTTACCTTCTTCAAGTTGTGCTACCTTTTTGCTATCCTTTTCCAGTTATTCCAACACCATTATCTTAAACTCACTGCTCCCTAAGCTTCCCATTCAATCTTACGAGTTGCTGTTGTCAGTTTGACCTCACGTAGATAATTCTTTAAAAAGAAAGAGCACAGTGCTTAAACACACTTTGCTAAGTAAGATAGGAAAATTGATTTTTTCCTGCACTTTTGTCTCTCCTTGCTACAGGTGTCTCCCTTGACTTGATGCACCTGAAGAAGCGAGGCGGCTTTGACATATCCTTGTTCTACAGAGATATCATCAGTGTCGCAGAGGGTGAGGACACAGGGGTCTACTTTGAGGAGTCAGGCAAACTGGAAGACCTGTTGAAGAAGGTTCGCGCCAAGGAGACCAAGAAGCGCGCGCTCAGCAGGTGTGCTCTGAGCCTGGGTTAAGCGCCCACCAGGCCCCCAATGAGTCAAAAGCACTTCCTTGCTTTGACCTTCCTGGCTCCTTAGCTGCAGGCTGTGCTGCTTCACTGGGTTCTCTAAAACACTTGCTTTATTTCAGGATGGCACAAGCCGCTTATTTCTCTTTTCTCTGGAAAGAGCCGATATGGTCCTTCTCCAGACCAGCACAAGCTTCCGTTTCCTTGAGGTGAACAGCTCTGTAAATTGAGGAGAGCAGTAGCACCTCCCTGATGCAGTAGTGGTTAGCTTGCGCTCTCATTGGCTCTGACTCGGGCCGACCTGACGTATAACAGAGCCACTGTTCCCCCGTCCTGTGTCTTCCTCATGGTCTGCTATGTTTGCGTCTGCTGAGTCGTTAGGTTGTAATGAGAATTAAATGAAAAACAGTTATACAGCGGGGCCTGGAAGGTAGCAGAAACTCAGGAAATGTTAATTCACATTATTGTTGAAATTATGTTATTCTGATTTCTCATGAACTTGCCAGTCATAGGAACCAATTCATCAGATTATGTTTTGTTTTTTTAAAAAAAGAACATTGGTATTAGAATTCTAGGTGCTCCTCGATGTTTCTTCCTAAGAGCTCTCAGCTTTCATTTTAGACTGGTTTCGTCAATGACCCTCCTGACCTTTGGTCATTTTTGAGTGTTTTTAATATTGCACTGGCAGTTCTAGAAAATCCAAGAAATGATCTTAAAGAAACCATGACCCCACTCATTGGTCCAGTTTTGTCATTACGTTCCTTTCCTGTTCAACCAAGCACTCTGTCACTTCTTCACCCTTCCTGAATTAATGGATCCTTAAGTCTACCCCACACTTGGGTAGGGTTGGCAGGGAGGATAAAGCAGTGGTTAAATGTAGGTACTGGAGTCAGATTAGGTGGATTCTAGTCTGATCCTTCTACTCTGTGACCTGGGGTAAGTTCTGAACTTGTCTGAGCCTCAGTAAGATGGGAGCACAAAGGTTCCTCCCATAGGATTGAATGAGAATCAAATGGGATCATGCAGGCATAGTGCTTGGACATAGGAATTATTTATAAATGCTGGCTATTTTTATTATTTCGTGGAAGAATGATTATGGGATATTTGATATGGATAGTATGTTGGGAGATGTTTGAGAAGTAACAATCCCTTAGCGCTAAGGCCTAGAGAATTATTCAGCATATTCTTACTTATAATCAAATAATGTGTTGTTTTTAAGTGCCATTGAGTTGGCCTCGACTCATAGTGACCCCGTGTACAATAGAACGAAGCACTGCCCGGTCCTGTGCCAGCCTCACATCCTTGCTATACCTGAGCCCATTGTTGCTGCTATGGGTCAATCGATCACATTGAGGACCTTCCCCTTTTTTGTTGACCCTCCACTCTACCAAGCATGATATCCTTCTCCAGGGAATGGTCCCTTCTGACAACATGACCAAAGTAGGTGAGACCCAGTCTGGCCATTCTTCCTTCCAAGGAGCATTCCGGCTGCCCTTCCTTCGGAACAGATCTGTTTGTTCTTCTGGCAGTCCATGCTGCTGTCAGTATTCTTTGCCAGCATTACAACTCCAAAGCAAATAATAATCAAATAATAGTGTAATTTTATTGCATGGTTATTGTGTGCCTAAGTTCTTTGTTGACTTTATAACAAGCCTTTGAGATAGGCTAAAAGCTGTGTACTAGTAGAATTCGTTAACCTTAAAACACTTCACATGAAATTAAACATATTAAGCAACTTATTTTGTACCATGGGTTTCCACATTTTCCTTTTTAAGGTATGATACAAACTATGTGATACTATACTGTAACTTTTTTTTTTTTTCTTGTGATTTTGGTAAAAGTTTACAGAGTAAATTCATTTTTCAGACAATTCATACACATTTTGTTCCATGACACTGATTATAATTCCTGTAATATTAACAGTTTTCTTCCCACTTCTTCCCTGTGGTTCCCTTTCTGCTGTGTCGTCCTTTCCTAAGCGTTCCTGCCCTCTGAGCTCTCTCCCTATGCGCTGTCCTGGAGCTCTCCCATGGCTGATTGTTCTAAGGAGCGTGCCTACCTGGTGGTCACCGTATGTGCCTATCTGTTGTTTGGCTGGAAGCCACGGGAATGAGTTCAATTCCAGGCTTGAAAGGTGACTAGGGGCTGTAGTCTTGGGGGTCTCACCACACTCTTATCAGACCAGTAAACCTGGTCTTTTTTATGATTTTGTATTTTCTTCCATGTTGTTCTCTCACTCCATCCAGGATCTCCTGCACTGATCCCTTTCAAGTGGTTGACAGTGGTAGCTGGGTATCATCTAGTTCTTCTGGTCTCATGGTTATATAGGCTGAGGTCCACATGATCTACTAGTCCCTTGGACTAATTGTTTCCATATGTCTTTTGTTTTCTTTATTCTTCTTGGCTCTGGACAAGGGGTGACCCATCATTGCATCTAGATGGCCGCTTGCAAGCTTTTAAGACGCTAGTCGCTACTCACCAAAGTAGGATGTAGAATGATGTTTTTGTGTAGTATATTATGCCAGTTGACCTTGATGTCCTTGGGCCCATTGATCCCGAGCCTACGGGTCCAACAGTTCACTCCCTCAGGGTGGTTGGCTGTGGCCAAAAGTTATCATTATACTGTAACTTTATTGTAACTTGGTGTTATGACATGTTCTAGGTTGAAAAATCATTTGTGAATGTGAAAATGTAAGATGGGTGGAGGGAGTGATGGAGTCAGTGTTTTGGGTCAGAAACAGAACCAAGGTCACTTAAAGCCTCAGCACACAGTAGACCCAGCTAACCAGTGCTTTGTCGTGGGCACTAAAATTCAGAGGACACAGCAGTGTTTTAAAGTTGCTTTTGCAGACTGTATAGTTCTTTTGTTGGTTGCTCTTGTCAGCTCTGTTTCCTCAGCCTGTAGACAATTGGGGGTGATACCTAGGAACCCAGAAACCACTACGTGTTGGTGTGTTCATCACATCCATCTGGTACGTTGTGTTTTTATTTTCATTTAGTTAAACATTGTTTGAAAAATGTCTCTTGTGTTTTGTGTTTTGACTTAGGGATTATCTGGGAGCGTGTGATTTAATTTCCAAATACTGGGGTTTTCCCGGGTTTCTCTGTGTGTTGATCTCTGGGTTCCGCTGTGGTCAGGGAACATCCTTTGTGTGACTGCAGTCTTTGTGTGTGTGTGTGTTGAGACTTGTATTGTGGCTCAGCATATGCGCTTTCCTGGATAATGTTCCACTTAAGCTTGAAGAGAATACGTAGCATAGGTTATTTTTGTGTTTTGCTTTTTCTCACAGTATTGTGTACATTTTTACAAAACTAGAAAACTTTTTCAAGAAGTTCTGATAGCTGTTTAAGGTGTTAGAAGAAATATCCTGGAGCAGTATGTCAGAAAAGTCTGGAAGCTGTGGGGTAGACATTCTTGAATTTGAATGTGAGTTTTTTATTACCACATCTCGATTAACTGTCCTCCAAAACTGCAGTGGGGGAAAGGTATAGTTGCCAAAGAATATATGGGGTTTCATTATTAAAAGAAGGGGAAAGGGGTGCTAGACAAGCAGAAACTAGAGGTGATAATACAATACAAGCTTCCGCCTCTGCCTGAAAGCAGGGTGTTCCTGTGAGTCGTTTCCGAAGCCGTGGTGGTGTGACACGCAGAAGCAGTTGCCCTTGATTTTTTGGTAGTGGATAATATGGTAAAAAACCTTTAAGTATTCTCAGATCCAAAAAACCTACCAAATCATACCAGACAACAGAAAACCAAAGTGGCACACAGGCACAGTTCACGGCGATGACGGCTGGGTGCTGAGATGCTGAGTGTGGTTCCCTGGAAGGAGCCTGGCGACACCATTCTCCCTGCTCACTCTCTAATGGGACTCACTGCAAAACAAATGCTGAACGTGCCTTTCACATTTCCTCTTTTTTCCTCGAAGTGAAAATTCTTTCTGTTAGCGAAACAGGTACTAGTGTAGGTCTTTTGTCAAAGGGAAGCAGCATAAAGCAGACTTTCAAAAAGTGGGGGATACCTGTCCTTGAAGGGTTCTCAAGAAAATTAAGTGAGAAAGTAGTTGTAAAGTGATGGGTGTGGTGCCAGGCACGTAGTTGGTGCTCAGTAAAAGCTGTCACTGTTGTGCTACGTTATTTATCGTTATTTTAAGTAGTTAAGATATTTTGAGATGAACTTTCATATCATATACCCTGAGATGGTATCATTGCAAACTGCGGTGCATTGTATGTGCATTCTGAAAGCTTGTTTACGATTATTGGAGGGAATGAAACATAATAAGGCTTGAGTGCCATGAAGGAATTTTAGAAAGGAAAGTATAGTTTTTCAGTCCATACTTCTTGATTTTTCTCTTTCAGGTTGAAGTTTAAGCTCAGCAAAGACATAGCACTCACTGTCGGCGTTTATAACTTGGTCCAGAAGGCTATAAGGCCTTCCCCAGTAAGGCTTTATCGGGAAACAAACGAGCCTGTGAAAACCAAGACCCGGACATTCAATGTGAACGATGGCAGTTTGCTTCTGCCGAGTGACACCAAGAGGTCTCAGGTGGTTATGCCTTCTGACTCCTTACTAACTTTTGTCCCGTTGACAAGTTAATGGGGAGCGGACCCTGAGCCACCCCACCACTTAAATCGTTTTCATGTGTCTGTCTTTCTAGCCGAGCTAGAAGAAGCTGGGAGCAAAGACATTGGTCTTTAGAACTGTGACATCTAGACGGGTGCCCCCCCCCCCCATTATTTTGTTTTCATTTACTGTAGATTTATCTAGGAAGGTACGTTATGAAGCCTACATTTTAGCATTTTTTTAAAAATAGCAGTATGTTTTTGGAGAAGGTTTACATGGCAGTTTAGGTTCCGTTCAGCGCTCTCTGCACAGGCTGCTCAGTGGCACTGGTTACCTTCTTCAGAGTGCATGAATGTTCTCATTGTTTCCCTTCTGGTTGTTCCATTGCCATTCATCTAGTTTCCCTTCCCTTTCACATTCTCATCTTTGTTTTAAAGTCATTGCTGACCATTTGGTCTCATGTAGGTGATTTTTTATTTTTTATTATGATTTGGGTGAAAGTTCACAGAGCAAATTCATTTTCCAAACAGCAGTTCATACACAGATTGTCTCATGACATTGACTTCAATTCCCCACAACGTAACAGCTCTCTTCCCATTTTCTCCCCATAGTTACCTCTTCCCTATGTCCTTCCCTCCCATGCACTCCTGCTGCCTGAGCTGTCTCCCCGTGCATACACAGCCCTTCTGTTCTCCCATTATTGTTATCTCCAAGGAGTGTATGTACTGTAAATGTTCAGCTCATATGCCTGTCTTTTATTTGGCTAGAAGCCACAGGAGTGGGTTCAATTCCAGAAATGAAGGGCAGCTAGGGGCCATGTTGTTGTTGTTAGGTGCCGTCAAGTCAGACCTGACTCATAGCGACCTCTCCTTGGGTTTCCGAGGCAGTATCACTACGGAAGTAGATTGCCCAATCTTCCTTTCGAGGAGTGGCTGGTGGGTTTGAACCACCAGCCTTCTGGTTAGCAGTCAAGTGCCTTAGGCACTACGCTCAGGCATTTTAACATATAGGTGATTTTTTAAAGGAGCACAGTATTTATGAGTGATAGTCATTATTTTTTGATCCCATCTATTATTTACCTACAGGATGACCTCGGGTTAGTTTTGATTTCAAGGTTTGAAAAATATCTTGGGGCAGTACCCTTGGGTAGTCCTCCAGTCTTAACCAGTCCAGTAAATCATATTTTATTTTTTTAGGAATTTGAGGTCTCTTCTGTGTTTTTTTCCCCCACTCTATCAGGGTCCATCTGTCACAGCCCCTGTTAGAATGGTCCGTAGTGATAACTGGGTACCATCTAGTTCTTCTGGTCTCAGGGAGATGAGGCTGTAGTTGTTGTTGTTGTTAAGTGCCATTGAGTCGGACCCAACTCTTAGCGACCCCTCCTGGGGTTTCTGTGGCAGTATCACTGTGGAAGTAGATTGCCCAACCTTCCTTCTAAGGAGTGGCTGGTGGGTTTGAACCACCAGCCTTCTGGTTAGCAGTCAAGTGCCTTAGGCATAGACTATTTATTTTATAGACTAGTTTCTTCCTAAATTTTAGCATTTTAAAGATAATACAAGTTTAGATGTGCCCAGTAGGAGTTCTTGTGGCGCTGTGGTTAAAGTATGGGGCTGCTAACCAGAAGGTTAGTAGTTCAAAACCACCAGCTGCTCCACAGGAGAAAGATGAGGCAATCTGCTTCCATAAAGATTTTATAGCCTTAAAAACCCTATGGGGAAGTTATACCGTGTCCTGTAGGGTCACCTTCAGTCTGAATTGACTTGATGGCAGTGGGTTTTTATATGTACCCAAAATATGATACTGGGACAGAGATAGGTTGGTTGTTGTTGTTGTTATGTGCTTTTGAGTCGGCCCTGACTCATAGCGACCGCTCCTTGGGTTTCCGAGGCGGTATCACTACGGAAGTAGATTGCCCAACCTTCCTTCCAAGGCGTAGCTGGTGGGTTTGAACCACCAGCCTTCTGGTTAGCAGTCAAATGCCTTAGGCACTATGCTATCAAAGCTCCCAGAGATAGGTATAAGTATAGTGAGACAAAAGCTAAAATTTATGTTTATTAAATGTTACTAACTCATTCTGATGAATGCTAAAAAATAGCTCATTCTGATGTAATTCTTGCCTTCATAGAAGACAAAATGAAGTATGTTTATTTAGTAGGAAAGAATAGAATTGTCAGCCAAATCAGGGGAAAATGATGAGCTGTTTTTTCCTTACTATAATTTTTAATTACAAATTAGTTTTCTGATTCAGACATGTTGGTTTTCAGTGGTCTCTTGAGAGCTAGAAAGTTAAATAGGGCCAGTGTGTGAGAGAGATGCTGGTGAAAACTTCGGCCCTGGATCCCTCAGAACCCACTGCTCTGAGTTAAAACCAGTCTCATTCCTTGCTCAGGCACAATAGCAGAAAACGCTTTATAAATAACTAGGGAGATGAGGAACAAGGCTAGGTGTGTCAGCTTTGAGGTGGTCCTGTTTCTTTTGGGTAGAGATTAGATTTTATTTTATTTTTCCAAACCAAGTTTTCCTGATGCTCTGAAATGACACGTGTGCCTCTCTTAACCTGAAACCCACACTCAGGGTGTGGAACATTATCTCTCCTCGTCCCTCAGCTTTGCTTAGTCTATACAAGGAGTTGACATCTCAAGTTAAAATTGAAGGTGTCATCCTTCCTTTCTAATTAAGCGAAATGAGGGAGAGAACCAGATTTTGCTCAAGTTCGGAACATAGACGGATGAGCTAACTAAGATGAAAGATTATTTTGATTCGACCCATGGGATGGTTTTTCAGAGCACAGACTTCAAGCCTCAGCGTGTTTTGTCCTATGTCATGAAGGAGGAGAAGACAAGACATCTCCCCTTCCATTTGAAAGTAGCTGGTCTTCATGGTGGAACATCCACAGGTAGCCGCTTTTGTGGTCACTGAGTTTCTTTCTTGACACCGTGTGTCTGGAAAAACGTGAAGGGCTCTGCTTTTATTATGGGAATGCAAATTTGACTCTGCTGCTATTGCTAATCGCACATCCAGTGTCAAAACGCCAACATTAAAGTTTTGAAGTCACATTTATGTGTATCTGTGTCTGCCTCCCACACTGACTGGGACTAGCACAGTGTCTGAGGTAGGTAGGGCCTCTCATCCAACAAACAGGCAGCTTTGAGCATCTTAAAGAAGCCCTGCTGGTGCAGTGGTTAAAGCACTTGGCTGCAAACTAGAAGATCAGCAGTTCAAACCCACCAGCTGCTCCACAGGAGAAAAATGAGGCAGTCTGCTTCCATAAAGACTTACAGCCTTAGAAACCCTATGGGGCAGGTCTCCTTTGTCCTATAGGGTCGCTGTGAGTAAGAATCGACTCAAGGGCAGTGGTTTTGGTTTTCTGTTTTGAGCATTTTATGTTAAGGATGGTGCTTTGGGTTGGGAGCTCAGTGCCTGTTCAGCGAGGAAAGGAGAACATAGTTGGAGAGTGTGGCCTATGGCAGTGGACAGGTCTGGGTTTAAGGCCCAGTTTAGTTAAGTCACCTGGAGCAAGTTACCCACCCACTGAGCCCCAGTTCACTCATCCGTAAAGCAGGGCAGATGGGGATACGAGTGAAGCCCCGGCAGGGCTTCAGTAAACATTCATTCCCGGTTATTGGAGGAGGCCTCTCGTGAACCGTCTTCCTGCTCCTTGGACGGGAGCTGATTTTAACTTGCTGCTGTCATGTGGCAGCCATTTGGCGTCTCCATGTAGCCTCTGTCTGTGTGGCCCCTTGTTTTTTCCTCCCTGGTTTCCTTGGTGGCACAGACAGGTTCTCAGCTGCTGATTGAGAAGGTTGGCGGTTTGAGTCCCTCCAGGGGTGCCTCAGAAGAAGGGCCTGGTAATCTGCCTCCAAGAGTCGAGCTACTGCCAGCCCCGTGAGCACACTTCCACGCTGACACCCACGGGGTCGCTGTGAGCCACGGCCAGCCCCGTGAGCACACTTCCACGCTGACACCCACGG